GTAAGTTACACACACACACAAACAAACAAAAACACCCTTTCTTTTTGTTTCCTGGTTCCTCAAGCTTCATTTCCGTTTTAGCTTCAATAATAAACTCATGTGCTTGCTAGCTGTCATATTATCAGGAAGTTCATTGATTTAGAGAATATACCATATGTGGTATCTCATGAAAAAGCCAACTGCACAAGTATTGCAGCCCTGAAACAGGCCTACAAATAACAAAAGGTTGTTTATGAGGAGATAAAACTTAATTACGAAAAACGACTTAAATAACTGCCAAGTATCAAACATGCTGAAAAGAATTACAATACGACTTCAGAAACAATAATTCTGACAACATACAAAATATAAACTTGGTTAACGACAAAAGTGTCGAGCTTGGTGTGTAACATTGTATTGATGACTGCATACAAATGAGACAATTGACAAATCCTCGTGTGTTTCTCAGTGAAATCCTAAAGTTATTGTTAATCTCAAATTTCAGATAATTTCGCCATGTATAGTTTCATTAAATCAACATATTTTATAATTACCAGCTACACACAAGCTGATAGAAATGCGTGCATGCGTGCGTATTTTTAATGACAGTAGTTTTAACACAGCAATTACTCGTAAGTCACTTTAACAAATCATATTACCAAAAATGTACAAATTATCATTATCACCAGGCTTATCAGCAACAACAAGTTAAAAATAACTGCCTTTAAATTATAATATCGATATCAAATTTGAATTCTGTGGATTTGGAATGTAGTTTTAAGGAGTTTTTCGTTGTGTTCGTTTCTGCTTAATTCTCAAAAACTACTATTCTATAAAGGCTCCAAGAAAATCGTTGCAGGTAAAGTAAAAAAAAACATTTTTAAAATCACTTTTTTGTTTTTAAATGTAATTAAATATTAACTGATAAAAAAATTGCCAAGTGTTTATGGAACCGTTATTTCAAGATGGTTGCTATTGGTACGCAAATTAAAAACGAATTTTCAAAAATTACGTTATCTTAAAACTGACATATTATTTCATTTCATAATATTACAACTGTTAACTTAGTTGAAAGCAAACTATTATTGCTCTTTATCATAGGCTTAAAAAAGTTACGGAAAAGTGTAGCCTCATAGCAAATCTTAAAAACTGTAAATCTGAGATATAAAAAAATTGCTGAAAATGTACATATAAAATGAGTACATAGACATTTATAGCGAAATAATTTAGAAAGTTGCTATAAGCGTATCTAGTGTTAAATATAATGGAATGCACCAATTCGCCACTATGTGCCTTGAATCACTGAGGATTTGACCCTTTAAATTTCTAAGCAATAATTAAAGTGGCTTTCTCGAATTAAAATTTGAGTTTCGATGCAGAAACAGCACTTTTCGTATATTAATACGAAAAAATACATGACACGCTGCATAAAATAAGACTATTAAAATTCATTAAAGTGGGAGTTGAGTACATTGTATTAAAACTACTTTTAATATTCAAAACAGCAAGTCACGTGATAACGACAACCGATATAAAAACACGATGGAATGACATGTATCGCAACTACATTTTGACACTGTATGGCGTTGCGAAGGTAGTTTGATGTCACCGAAAACAGATAGTTTTTGGAAAGGGTATGTAACGGTCATTTCGGGTGCAAAATATTCAGATATTCAGACCATAAAAATGTGTTCAGATCGAGGATTTAGAATTTCAAAGACAAAGCTATCCCTTGTACTTAACGGCAGTGGAAATCAAAGAAGTATGAATGAACATGAAGCACCAGAACCATCCAGAAAAAGACCTGCAACGAATCGTGGTAACCAAAGCGGTCTTGTAACAGATTAGAATCCGTGAACACAAATGTCAGTGGCAAAAGCTCTCCACATGCCCCAGGCAACAGTAAACAACATAATCAAGAAGGATCTCTGTATAGAAAAGCGACAAAAGTCACTTGTACGTAAGTTGCTTTCACGACATATCCATACAACCATCAAACAGCTGGAGAATGAAATGGTTATTCATGCTATTTCATACGAAGACATACCAGTAAGTCATTAGATGCAATACCTTTGAATTTCTGTGCGATTAGACTGTTGAAATTGGCGCTCGGAAACTGTCGTCCTTTTACACTAGATAACTTATGGAAAGTAGTCAGAGAGTTGTGGTGTGCTTTTGACATAACAACCTTAAGACGGACCCTTTGCAATGAAAACCACATTGCTCGGCTACTGTAAAGATACATAGCCGTCAGATAGAGCATGACAGAATGTGATGATATGGACTATAACGACATGGTGAGACTCCAAAATCGTTTTAATATAATATAATTGTAATGCTTTTCACATCCAAATTATCATCAGGGTGAAATGTTATATCATTTCATACATATATCAAATGTTATTTACTTTAGAAATAAATTATAGAGATCAATCCAAATCTGGAAAAAAATGCCTCTACTGAACAAGCATATAAAATATATATAATATTATGAAAGTGGGGTGTCAGTTTCCACTTGTGTCACTTTCACGAATAATCAATGCAACATATCTTATAATTTTAATTGCAACTTCCCTTAACGAAGCCACTTTTTGCATGTTTTATATATGTTTCTTCTGAAATGTAATTTAAAATTGGTAAGTATAACGTATTTGTTTGTAAAAGCACCGTTAGGTTACAGATATCCCATGTGCCGCATTCAACAATTTGTATAATTTCGCGTAAAGCTTTTCGAAGGCTACCTACGCTAGCCGTCCTGAATTTTGAAGTGACAGAAGGCAGCTATTCAACACCACCCAACGCCAACTCTTGGGTTTCTACCAACAAATCGCATTATAATACTCCAACGGCTGAAAGGACGAGCATTTTCTGTGACAGGTTTCGATCCCGCGACCTGCAAATTGCGAAATGAGTGCCATAACCATCAGGCTCGCATTGAACAAAGCTAGATTTGGTATTTTAACGTATATTTTTTGAATAAATCATTATGAAAACAAATAGAAACTATAAATTTGCTTCATAACGAGAAGTATTCAATTAAGTAGGTTTCGTTATGTTACAATGGGAAGAAAGAGATGATAGATTTTCTTTTTCCGTAAACATGTGTGAAACATTCGTTTCACTACCAAGGTTTTCGGTCTTCACGGTCAAAGTAAAAATATATATTCGATGTACAAGAAGGAGAAAAACAAAAGAAGATAATGAACAAGAGTTTTTAGCCAAGAGGCAAGCAGTTCAAAATGTCCTCTAACTTCCGTATGAAAATGAATCTCGTTACACCATTAATGCTTTATTATCCAACATATTTTCTTTAAAGTTTAAACAATACGATAGTTTGGCACGTTTTTCCTAGGTAAATTTGAAAATATAGCATTAGAGAAAACAACTGCACTTCAATAATTATGACAGTAAAATCAACTTAACACAACACTTTCAACATATATCTGTGTGTGTGTGTATGTTTTGCATACATTTAAAAAAATGCGTGAATTTTCATGTAAATTGTGCAGTTCAGTTAACCTTCATCAGCATATTGGGGTCCACATGGACCCCAACGTCTTTCTCGGTTGTATATCTTTTTACATAATCGTTACAAATTTATATCAGTTCATGTAACTGTCAAGCAGAAACTCTGGATCAATATGACACTGTTGTTTTCGATACAGGCAGAAAGAGTACATAGCTATTATCTCATATTTATCTAGGGTTCACTTGGACCCCACACTATCATTGACCATCATTATACATGAGTTCGCCCTATGTCATAAAAACAAATTTCTAAATGTTTATTTCACTATATAGGCTGCTACAGAGGATAATCCATCAAACTAGTACAGTATCATCTTGTTTGTTTGTTTATAACGTCATTGTGGTAAGCATATATGCACATCTTATTCCTAAACAAGTGTTCTCTGTGATGACAGCTTATAATGTCCTATTTTATAGAAATTTTGTTTGATAATTGTTGTAAATAACCTGATAATCTGCAATGAAATGCATAGTCTACTATCAGGATATATTTGTGTTGGGGTTTGGTCGATCCCAAGGTGACTAACAACGTACACTTTTAGTTTTCTTTGAGTTGAATTTTGCAGTATTGTGGTAATCCCATTATATATATTGATAAATAATGACTTGAATATAGCAGTATGATAAAACTTCGGCATTTTTTTTGATACATTGTTTGTATAAGGAATTGTTTAGAACTACGTATTTGTACACTGAGGAACAATTTAATTTTGTAATTTCTTGATTTGTCAACATAGTTCCTCTAGAATACATATATTTTTATGTTGTTCACATTGCATGCTAACCCTAATAAATGCTGTAATGCAATTGTTTTTTGGAACTTCAATCCACAGCTTACTATGATGATAGTTTTGTGCTGAGGTCCGATTGGGCCCCAGGTGTTCTACAACGTAACTTTTCAAAGGAGTGCTGATGAGTGATAAGAATTAACTATAATGAAACAGTTACCCAATAATGGCAAATATGAGAATTAAAATGGTGTAGTTATAGAATATTTTTTTAGTTTCACGCACAAACGACATTTATCAGAGTTTTATCTGATGCTAGGATCAGTATGGTTTGTGAAACACTTTAAACAGATGATTTCTATTCTAATCTTGTTAGTTGAAAGTTAGCTTCATTTATTTGAAAATGTAGATTATATAAATATTAGTACATTTTTTATTAATGCTTGCCAAACCTTAAACTATATAGGTATAAAATGTTGAGAATGTAATACTTCATTCACACAAGCAAAATATGTTTGATCTTTAAAAAGTATCCAAGTTATGTTTATTTATCTATAACTATAAAAATAATAGCATTATTATCATTAATAAAAAGAAAGTTCTTTTCGAGGTAAACTTAGTTAATAATTACCCAAAATATGCTGTATGCTCAATAAATCATGCATAATCATTTTGGATGAAATATTTTATTATAAAAATTTTATATATTAATATTACTTAAGTCTTGGCTATATTTCCGTCGTTATATCTTCATTCCAGACTCACCTCTTTTTGTCGCGGCGCATGCACCGGACGACAAATCAACGCTGTCCCATTACAAACTACGGCAGTATCTTCAACAAAAATACAATTGGGAAGATTTTCATCTGGTGGAAGTTCAATAACATCGAGACCGGCGTCTCTTAAAATTTTACAGTACTCCTCGTGTTGTTGTTTGGCCTTGTCCAAGTCAATTTCTTCTGAAATTCCCAAGGCTTTCGTTTTAAAACTGAGTGGAATACGACAAACAATTGCATGCGTATAACGATGGGACGCCATTTTCAGAACTTATTTTCAAATTAAGCGAGTGAGTGTGCATTGCGTCACCTAGTGGGACTAAATATTTTTGAAGACTAAAAGAAAATAATTGTTGGGTAAAATAAATGCACATACTTAAAAAAAAGCTTCTTTATAGAAAATTAACAGTAATGAAAAATTGTATAGTCTGAAGTGAAGAAAATGTCATATGGTTAATAAAATTGTGTTTTATATTGTTTTCATGCTACTTGAGTAAAAGATGAACAGAAAGATAATGAACGAATGTTCCGCTATATATATTTTATTCCGACACAAGAAAATAGTTTCAGAATTTGAAGTACTGGAGTGGCAACGTCTCTTCATCACAATTTGTGGTGACAATTTTTGCCATTAGGCGGTATTGTTGTTATATTTTGATTGATGTGCACACCAAGAACATTAATTTAGATGAGACTATAATTCGAGAAGAGGTAACTTGCACTATATATAGCTTTGCGGTAATTGAATTTTCATGAATTACGAGAATTTCAATGAACAGGGACACAGAATGAATTAAGGAGTTTCAATGAGTAAGACTTCAAAAGTCAGAGCCAATCAAAATCGGAGTATTTTCACGTAATCACATTTTGCCTAAATTCCATTGCAACTGATAAATAACTTAAGAACTGCTTTTGAGAAATAATAAGACGATAAATCTATAGGTATACAAATAATTATTATCTATCATCTTACCATGCTTTTAATATCGTTGGAGCAGAGAAAGCAATAATTCCCTTATCCATAATTCACTTCCTGTAAGAATTGTATATCATATATATCAGGCTAAAAATTAACAAGTGCATTAAAGCTAGCATTTGTTTGGAAAATAATTCTTTATAAAAAGTATTTTTCTTATTCGTTAATAATCAATTTATATAAATACAATACAGTAGCACCGTTGTTTATATACTGGAAAGATAAGTCCAAAATCGATGTAATTGAAAAAGTTAGTTGGAGTACGTTTGAGAATACCATATTATCTTTTGAGATTAGACAAATAGAAGATGTATTTTTGTACACAAATAATTATTTTCTTTTCGTGGCAAATTATCGCTTATTATGTTTATAAGACTGACTGCAAGGTAAATTAAATAAGGTTATTTTTAAACTTCAACCAGAGTAGTTTGTAGTTAGAAATTACGGGGCCAAATTCAATCAGCAAAATCATACCATTTGCGTTGATGTAGTTTATACGGGGAAAAAAAACTAACATAAGATATCTTGGCTTTCGTAGCTAATTTTAGAATACAATCAACAGTTTCGGATACCTTAGACTTAACTCTTCACAAAAAGAGAAATGTATATCTCTACCTAAGAAACACGCAACACAGGAACACTACACAAATAATATTACATCTAAATGAGTAAAATGGTGGCGCCTATTATATGAATAAACATTGACGTTAACATATAATAATACAGGAAAATGAGATTAAATTCGAATTATGTATCCAATACAAATTAAGAAAGTAATTTTTGCTGAGCCACTTTTGATCAAAATGGCTCTATATAAAATACATATACATAAACATAAACGAATTCTTTCCCCAGTGGTAGATAGGAGGGATGCAGAAGTGACCACTAATATTGGTTAAATTTGGTTTTAGTAAGAGACGTGCTAGTTGTTATCCTTCAATGCTGGCCACTCTCTCCTGGGCTTGAGGATTTCTATTATATTTTTTATCCCAGTTCAAAATTCCTTAGTTTGAATACCAACAACATGATCCAGGTAAATTTAGTAAGTGCACTAAAAGAATAAAGCATATGTGACACTCTCTGCTAGTTGCCTCCATGTTTTCTCCTTCTGTTGTCTAAGTAACCTCAATCTTTAATCAGGCAGGCTTTTCTTCTGGTCCTTGGATAATATTTGGACAAATGGCAAAACCATACTGGTTAAAATGCATTATTCACAGAGCACCTGTCTTATTCATGCAGGAAACACACTTAACTATTCGCTTGACAATATATATATATATATGTTGATTATTTTAAAAGTATGTTGTAACAGTAAGAATGATATTCTGTTTCTTTGCTTCTTGGTGTCTGAGTACCTCCAGTTATTGCCCTAGTGTTCAAATTGGCATAGCCACAAGCTCTTGGGGTAATCTTGATGTTTTACTATTTCCTCGTAAACACTCTTGTCTTGTGTAACAACCCTGTTACGTTTAAGTGGATCTATGTTGATGATGTTCTTGTGCTTGGTCACACATTCAAGATTGTGACTGAGGATCTGAGAATAATATTTCAGCACATAGATAAATCAGGATTGAAACTGAAATCTGGGAATTGCTTGCATATGTGTACAGAAGTGAAGTTTCCAGTAACATTATTAGAAAAATGGAATCTATGTTGGTATGACTAAGACAACCATGGTGACAGATTGGCCTCAACATGTGACCAAGTTAGAAGTCTGCAGTTTCTTTGGTTTTACATCACATTACCGAAATTTTCTGTCAAATTACCTCAAGATAGCAACACAATTATCTGCTTTTCAAGAAAAACGAGACTTAGGTTGGATGGAGTGAGAATGTCTAAGCATTCCGATCCCTAAAGCTTGCTTTATTTGGTGCTTCAATGCTAGCCTGTCCATGATAATACAGTAAGTTCCAGTTAGACACTGACACCAACGACAATGTAATCAGAGTGGTGTTATTGTAATTACAGAATGAAATGGAATGTGTAATCACATATACTAGTCACATGCTTATAGCTCCTGAGCACAGGTATTAAATGTGGAAGAAACAACTACTTGAATTTGTGGTATTCGTGAAAGATTATCACCACTACTTGTATGGTAGGAGGTTCACCATTTGGGTGTAAAACACTTCACTGAAGTGACTAATGAACTTTAAAACAACATAAGTTATAATACCACATTCGATAATAATGTTACAAGGATATTACTTTGTCGTAATGCATTGCACAATTCTGCAACACGTAAACTTGGATAAATGATCTTGCTGCATGATGAGACCTTAGCCATCTCTGTTATATCAAACGCAAACAATGAAGTAGGAGCTTCTGCTGGAAAATAGACAATAAACACTTGAGGAGCTCCAGGAAGAGAAACTGTGGGATTTGACCTAGCATGGGCACTCCTTGTAATGCATAAGGTAAAGCTCAACTAGTACCAATAAAGGAGAAAAACACAGATGCACGTAAACTGCGGCACTATCATGCTTCTTTACAAGTGCTGAAAAGTATTCTATAACTTCACTATAAACCACTGAGACTTTGCTGTAGTTAGTTGTTCAGACACAAAATTCTAGGGCACCAATGTTGTACTAACATTCAGTGGTGGTTCTTCTGACAGTATTTGAATTGGATATAGTGTGAATACTGTATAGTGTGTGCCACCTATAAAGAGAACTGGCAAACACAGAATAAATTCCAACAAAGATACCACTGGTCCACTGGGACGTAACTGGTATATATTCACCACTGTCAACTACTTTATGAAAAGGGCTGAGGCTTATCCATTGGATAATACATCGGCACAGTCTATTGCTGATGTATTGGCAGAGAATTTGGTAGTACGTTTTGGAGTACCAGAATAAATTCATAAAGATAAGGTAGTCATTTTTAACAGACAACTGTTGGTTGAGGTGTGTAAAGTGTTAGGTATGGGTATCACCTCTAGTCTGATGGTTCAGCAGAATGGGTGATATAGACTACCATGTTTGCTAATCTCAGCTTAACTGACTAAGACTTGTCATATGTGATGATAGTATACAGAGAAACTAGGCAGAGATCTACAAGATTTTTGCTGCATAGGCTTTTCACGTGAATGTCTCTGACAAGAGCTGGAAAATGCCTCTTGAAGATAAAAGAAGTTCTATGACAAGATGGTAAAAGAGTGAAATGTGTCCAGTGTGGAAATTGGATACGACTGTAGTATATACTGGCAGCATAGTAGCAAGTTGAGTCCAGCTGGACTGGACTGTACTTTATACTCCGACAAATTAGTCCATTAACATACAAGTTATAGCAGATGTGAGGCAGGCAAAATAAATTGCATCTGTACATCACAGGTGAACCTTTGTTATACTTTGACCAGGAATCTAAAGATATGATCAACATATCTAGAGTCATACTGACTCACCCAACTAGGAAAAAAGGCAAAAACACCTATTTGGTGGTCCAAGATGTGCCAAATGAGAAGTCACTAGAGTTAATAGCAAAAGCCAACTCTGACAGTTGTCTCGGCTGCAGACATAAGCCTCTCCATCGATATGGATAGGAGTGATTTACTCCATGAGCTAGGATAGCTGTTAGATCCAGAAACCAATGAATGAAAAATAGTAGTATTCGTTGTTTCCTGAGCTATTTTGAGATATTGTAAAATACAATGTATGTACTACATTGTAGGACTACTACTCATTCCACAACTTGTTATATATGTGATGATAGTATATAGAGAAACTAAACAGAGGTCTACAGAATTTTGGCTGTATAGGCTTTCCACGTGAGTGTCTCTGGCAAGAGCTGCGAAATGCCTCTTGAAGATAAAAGAAGTTCTACGACAACATGGTAAAAGAATGAAATGTGTCCAGTGTGGAAATTGGATATGACTGTAGTATATACTGGTAGCATAGTAGCAAGTTGAGTCCAGCTGGACTGGACTGTACTTTATACTCTGACAAATTAGTCCATTAACATAGAAATTAAAGCAAGTTTTTGGTCAAGAAATGAATGACTGAAATAGCTTTGCAACCCTTTCTTTCCAAGTTCTCAGATGGTATTTTACTGTATGATGTAAACTCAACATTTTTATGTTTACCACTGTGAAATTCAGTGAAATTTCTGATATGAAACATCATTTATTTTAACAGAATCACTTCCATGATCTAGCTGAATTATATATATTCTATGGAGCATGAAATCCTATACTTGCTAGATTCTCACCTGTGTACCTAGAAAATAGACCATTCTACAAACAGCTATGGAGTTCTATTTTGAGATAGAATTGAAACAGCACGAATATTAATCTTAGCTTATAAGACTTTTAGCTGAAAAGTCTTAATTATCTGTTATGAACTACTAGAGTACTTGAGAATGTGTAATGACAGTACATGTATATAGCAATATATGTATCTAAATAAATATTTTTGTATTATCTTACACACATATAAGAA